AATTATATATTGTGAAATATTTATTTCTAATTACAAATAAATAAAATTTTGTTTTGAAGCATGGTGTAGCATGGGTAACAGTCTAAATATAACAATGGAAACTACATTGCTACATTTTACGACAGTATGCATAAAAAGCCAACATCAGTGCAAAGGTTGAGATTGCTTCTTTTTCACCAGATTAGAAAATCTTGGGGCAGTCTTTGCAAAAGCACAATGAAGATCATCTTCCACAACAAGTCTACTTCTGTATTTAGACTTGATAACCAACAAGCTGGAAAACCCTGTTTCCAAAGATACGTTGTTGGAAATGGAAGAAGAAGGCACAACACAGTATCAGACAGAACAGGATATGACTGTAAACACTTGATCCAGAATTTTGTAACTGGCATTGTAGAGAAATCAGTTCTCACTGCATCATTTTTAATAACTCCAGTGAAGTCCTCTTGTGCTGTCTCAGGAACATCTTCAACTTTGACTGTGAATGGGCTTCTGGAAAGTGCAAATGAGGTGTCAGGTAGATTTGGAAAGTACGATGAAATTTTGTCTGCAAGCATGTGCAAGTGTTCTTTCACAGAAATTATCATAGTAATCCTTTTGTCTGGTTCAATGTCATATTCCTCAAAGAAAGAAGATAAGGTAGGCAACATTTAAATTTTATTTTCATCCCTTTTTTTTGTTGTTGTTGTCAAAGCTGAAGTTTTATTTGGAATGATCAGATCTTTCCAGACAAATCGAGGAATGTTGTGTTTGGTCCTTGCAGTGATTAATTTAAGTCATTCAAGATGGCAAAGATGTCAACCAAGTAAGCTATTTTCTGCAGTTCACTTTTATCTCTGAAATGTGCTTCAAACTGCAGTCTTGCTTTCTGATTAATAAACATTTTGAGTTCATCATGAAGCTGGATGCTAAATATTGGAAGTGGAGCAGATTTAATTTTCTGAATTACCTGATCAAGAATATCAGCAGACATGCCATCTATTCTTCTGTGGACAGTGTCGTTAGATAAGAAAATTGCACTCAATTTTGTAACAAATTTGTCTTCGACCATAATTTGAACAATGTCTTTGGCTGCTGGCAACAGTAAATCCTCAGCAATGGTGTGAGGTTTCATAGCTGTGGCGATTCTGAGTGCCACCAAATACGAAGCTTCATTGGCTGCTACGTTTTGTTTGTGGTACTTGCCACCAGTGTCAAGTCTGGCTTTCTTGAATCCATCAACTTTGCTTCTAAAATAGTTGGTATCCTTGCCGGCAAAGCTTGGATGCTTGCTATCAAAATGGTGTTTTAGTTTGTTCAGCTTCATAGATTCAGCTGATAGAACTTTACAACAAATAACACATTGCGGTTTCTCAACTCCTGCTGTAATTATTGAGGTAAAACCATACTGTAAAAAATCCTCACTATATTTTCTTTTCTTAACATTCTTCTCTACACAATCCATTGTTATGGGATGGTTTGCTAATGAAAATAATATATAAAATAGCTTTAATAATATAAAAGATGATACATGGCATAGTTTAGTCAATGAAATTTATTAAAGTTTTCTATGATTTATGATTCTCTTTTTTTTTTTTACATACTTGTTACTATCACAAGGGGACAGTATTCACATCAACCACAGCTGAATATAAAAAGACTGATCAACATCCAGATTAAGTTCCCATGCTACAGATTGTTTTTTTTTTCTTTGCAGTAGTTGATGATTTTACAGTACATGATTTTACATTTACCCAGTAATTATAATTCATGAAGTGTTATTTTACCTCTAATACTGCTGCTTTCAACACAGTAGCTGCTTTAAACGGAGTAGCTGCTTTCTACACAGTAGCTGTTCTCTACACGTGTGACTGGTCCGCATAAGTATATTATAGCACCAACCCTGTCACATACACCTGTATTTGTATGGGGTGTATGTGATGGGGTTGGCGTGATGATGCCATCACGCTGGGTACTTGTATGTGGGTGTATCTGCATGTGGGCAGACCCACCTGGAGACGGATAGAGGAGCAGTGTCTCAGTTCCTAAGACCATCGAAAATATGTGTTTTCCAATGGTCTTGACCCCCAAGGGGGATCGTGACCCACAGGTTGGGAACTGTTGAACTAGAGCTTGAGACTGAGGTGAAAGCTAGTGGGTTCTATTTTAAACCACCTCAGGTATCTAGGACACTTGGCATGAAAGGTTTGTTTGAGGCAAAAGTGACTACAATCATAAGGACATGATTTAGTTGATTTCCAGTGAGCCAGTGGGCGAGAAAGAACATTGTTGTGAACTTCTCACCAGGACCTTTCGGCATCGAGTCTAGGTTGCCATTCTGATGTGGCACAAATACCGGGCCTGTGCTTCTTGTGTCCTGTTCTTGCAGGGTGGAACACCTTTGCCATGTTTCCAGCCTCTCCCCCTGTGAAATACCACCATTTCAAGGCATGGAAATTAGTTTTCTGAGAAACAATTGTTAAATGACTGGCAAAGAAGGAAGTGGCATTGATGTTTGTGCTTAAGGTCCACAGTTTGGTGGAGGATGATGTTTCCTTTTTTCTCTCCCTTTAAAATGTGGCTTCCTCTTTTGTTACACTTAATAAAAAAGGGTTGGCTTCTGTTAGATTGGGTAGAGCTGATTATAGTGCTAGGATGTGTATTAGCTGTCTACTTGGCAAGAAGCAGCTGGCCCAGACAATTGAATTAAATGAAGATACTATTTATATAGGTGTGGGCAGATATAAGGGGTTCTGAGCTCCAATATGTGTGTGTGGTGTTTCCATACCAGCAAGCAGTTCTCCAACACCAGCTGGGTATCCTATAATTCAATTCAATTCAATTCAATTCAATTCAATTCAATTCAATTCAATTCAATTCAATCCAATCCAATCCAATCCAATCCAATCCAATCCAATCCAATCCAATTCTGACACCATCTACCTGGAGACAACATCAGATCCCACCAGTTAAGGGCTTGTCCCACAACACTGCCCCTCCCCTTTCAGATCCAGATTGTCAAATCCAGATTGTCACCTGAGCTTCCGACATTCTGGCTATAGATTTGTGGTTCCTATGACTCCTTCCTTGAATTCCACTAATTTGCTAGAGTAACCCACAGAACTCAGAGAAACGTGTTACTTATTAGATCACCAGTTTATTATCAAAGGATATAACACAGGAACTGCCAAATGGGACAGATGAGTAGGGCCAGGTATGTGAGAAAAGGTAGAGCTTCTATGTCCTTTCCAGGAACCACTCTCTCCAAATGTCCACATACTCAGAACCTAGAAACTTTCCGAACCCTGTTCTGTTGCTTTTTATGGAGGCATCATTATATAGGCATGGTTGATTAAATTATTGGCCATTGATGATTGGTTAAATCTTCTCCTTTGCCTCTCTGGTGAAAGGGGAGGACTGAAAGTTCCCACCCTCTAGTCTCTTCCTGGTTGGTTCCCCTGGTAACCAGCCCCCATCCTTAGGTGTTTTCCAAAAGTCACATCGTTAATGTAAACTTAGTTGTGGTGGAAAGGGACTTTTATGGATAACCAGACACCCATTTCACCTTTATGGCTCTGCAGTGATATCAGGAACTAAAGACAAGACCAAATTTCTAACAAGAGATGCTCCCATTGTTCTTATCGCGCAGGAAATTCCAAGGATATTAGGATTTCTGTGCCAGAAATAGAACAAGACTGATGATATATTTCTTATTATAAATCACAATCTCACAGCAGGGTTGAAGAGAATGCACAAAGGATGGTGGGCACCTTGGGGGTAGCAATGGTGGGTGGGGGAACTCTTATCAATCCTTGGCTTAAAGGGGCAAGGGGAGGGAGCAGTTACAGAAACCTGAAAAAGGCCTTAGCCTGTGATGAAAAAATCCAGTGGCCTGGGAAAATAAATACCCCATCTTTCTCTCTCCTCCAGTTCTCTCTCTCCTTCCATGGCTACCAGTGGTAAAACCCAGCTGGAGACAGAACACAGGAGGTTCCTGATGATGCAGCCAGTACCGGACGACCTCCCAGTGCATAGCTCAGGGTAGAGGAAGATGGAGAGCAGTTTCTTTGCATCTCCATGCACATGGACTACTCAGAATTTTCAGGGACTGTTGGCTCAGGCTTCCAGTTTAACATTCAGACAGTTTTCACTTCAGCTTAGCTGATGAGGATAGGCTTAAACCCTCTTTCCTTTGCCATGCAAAAGAAACATTTTGAGTATCACATGCAGCAAATATTTTGAGTCCAACATGGAGGGGCTGAGGGCCAGCCCACCTAGAGAATTATATTCAGGTGATAATTTAAATATTTTATTGCACCGGCTCTAATTTATAAAAAGAAATGCGAAACTGAAAAAGGGAGATATTCATGGTAGAGATACTAAGGCAATGGTTCATAAATGTAACAAAACCAAGATAAGAAGTAAATCACTAGGTGCGTATTTGGACTTGTCAAAGTAGGAGATATTTGCCATACTTTTGCTGGCTCTTGCAAAGATTCTTCTAATATGAATGACAAGAAAATTTCAGGACACTGTGCTAATGGGACCAGTCAAGAATTTTATTAGTCAAGAAAGTGAGTGTGATTATGTTGAGTGACTCCATCTCAAAGACCAAGAATATGGGCATGCCATTTTCCCAAAATGGTAAACTGAGATGGAATATGACCAAAGGGAACTGGGTAACACATAGATACACTGGCTCTCTCCCATACTCTGACCTGCAAGTCTCTCACAAAGAAGCTCACCAACTTAAAGGAGCGTCCTCAAAGCTGAATCCATTTCCTTGGTGTAGGTGGAAGTTGGCTCCATTCTCTATTACCTAGTTTCTCCATTGGACACCATCACCATTTCCAAGTTCATATCCCGAGGCACTTTAATATGGTCCACCGGGGGAATGTACTATCTAATGGTCTCTGTATTATGCAAACTCCCCAGCCAACACCCCAGCCTGCTACACCCACAGGCTCCTTGAGAAACTAGAAGTCCAGATAATAAGCCACATACTTCCTTTTTGTCTTAGCTCTGAGAAGCTCCCGGCTCAGTGAGAAGGGAGGGATTTTCATCTTGTGGGTAAGTAGAAACTGATGTAGTGTTTTTTCCATAGAAAATAGAAAATGTTTCCTGTATGATCTTGGGTCTAAAAAATGTTCTGGCATTGGAAAAAATTAGAGGAGACCTCATTACAGGTCCTGTGGCTTTATTTCTTGAACACTGCTTTGGGGGCATCTGTCTCACATCCATTTGCCCACTCCTGCTTGGGCGAGGAGTGGGTATTGGTGCAATATTTCAGGTGCAATGGCCAGAAATGCTTTAGTACATTCCAAAGAGATAGTGAGTTGTGTATTAAGAAGACTAAGGGAAACTAAATAAGAAAGGTGCAGGACATCTTTCTGAAGCAGATGTGGCCGATAACCCGTTTGTTATTAAAAATGAGAAAACAAGATCTAAAGTATGAGTGACTTTCCTGAGGTCCCACAGTGAATTACCAAGCTTTTTCACATGCCACACAACTCACCCCCATAAACACATGAGCACATTCAGTGCCAGGCTCATAGGGAAAGGCTTGTCTGTTTTATTTATGGCCAAATTATCTACGGGTCGGTGTTTGTTCCAACCAGCTGCTTATGACCCAATGGTAGGGGATGGGGTCATGAAACCAATATAGTGGGCACCAACCAGCATTTTCAAAGGAATGAATGGACTGTAGTTATAAAATATCAGAGGCTGTGTGTAGTTAACATTGATTTGTGAAACTTGGCTTAGTTATTTTTCTTTCTCCCTGTATCTCTCTGGTGCCAAATGTATTTTTTATGGTGGGTCATGGCCAAAATTCTCTGCAAATCAGCCTCGACATATATGTGAAATCAGCCGGACACAGAAAGACAAAGCCTGAATGATCTTGCTCGCTTATATGTGGAAGCTACAGTGGTCACACTCACAGAAGCAGAGAGTAGAATGGTGGGTGCTGGGGCCTGGGGAGAGGAAAATGTGGGCGGTGATGGCCAAAGGGTGTAACATTTCCTTTATGGAAGATGAGTAAGTTTTGGAGATTTATACAGCATAATGCCCATAGCTAACAATACTATATTGTGTACTTAAAATTTGTTAAGAGGGTGTATCATATGTTATGTGTTCTTAGTACATGTGCAAGCGTGCGCACACACACACACATACACAAATCATAAAAGGGGGTGGGAGACACGCTTTGGGAAGTGATATGTTGTTTTTTTAAAAAAATTATCTTTATTGTTGAAAATATTACAGATGATGCCCCCGCCCCTTGCCTTTCCTCCTCCAACCGGCTCCTTCCGCTCTCCCCCAGCCTTCACCACACTATTGTCTGTGTCCATGGGTTATGCATGTACTTAAAAATCAGAAAATAAGGTTTAGGCAAGGCAGTGGAAACACTGGAATGCTCATACTTTGCTGGTGGGTATGTAAAATGGCACAGCTGCTGTGCAAAGTAGTTTGTCACTTCCTTAAAAAGATTAACATAGAATTATCATAGAGCTCAATGATTCTACTCCTAGGTATACACACAAAAGAATTGAAAACATGTTTGCACAAAAATTTGTATAAGAACATGCACAGTAGTATTATTCATAATAGCCAAAAAGTAGAAACAACCCAAATATCCAACATTTGATAAATGGGTCAACATAATGTGGTTAGATTTAAAAAAAAAATTTATTTATTTATTTATTTATTTATTTATTTATTTTTTAGATAGAAAGGAAGGGAGAGAGAAATTGAAACATCAATGTGAGAGAGAAACATCCATCAGCTGCCTCCTGCACACCCTCTACTGGGGATCGAGCCTGCAGCCAGGGCATGTGCCCTGACTGGGAATCGAACGGTGACTTCTCAGTCCATGGGACAACGTTCAGGTCACTGAGCCCCACCAGTCAGGCATGTGGTTAGCTTTTAACATAGTCAATTATTCAGTGTAGTCTCTCAAGTGACCATATATGATTTACAGCTAATTTCATATGTGTTTAAAGGGAAAATAACTAAGGCACAACTGAAATTTTATCATTGCCATTTTGACCCCAAACCTACAAAAATTCCAGAATGTGATCTAAAATCTAAAGGTCAGTAGTTATGTATAGGTCTTAAGGATAACTATTTTTAGTGTTTATAATGCAATCTATGGTTAAATAATTAAGTAAAAAATGGACAGTGATTGAATGTGAACTTGAGAAGTCTTGACTGGTTGACAGTGAGACTCGTGCCAACATGTAATAAGAAAGGAAGAAAAGTTATGCATGACACCGAAAAGAAGGCTTCCTAGAAAAGAAATCCTATGTAAATAAAGAGTAGAAATCTCAGGTCCTCTCACAGTTTGTGTACGGTCATAGTTTGTCAAAACCCAAGAGTAGAGCCACAGTTGAGAATGTTGCAAAGAATTAGTTTCAAATTATGGCTGAATAAAAACACATTTAAAGAAATCCCCATCTAAAGGAAGGCCTGTGCACAGAACTACCTCCCAGGACGGGCTGCATAGCAATCAGAGGGATGTGGTAGCTGGAAAGTGTACTCAGGAAAGGGAGCAGGACGGCAGGGTGGCAGGGAATGTCCCCAACAGCATTTCTGAGGCAAACAACCCAACAGGAAGATGCTGGAGTTTTAAAGGGAATACAATCATAGATATTAATTTATAGAGATCTAGCTGCCAAAACTTTTCTCTCCACATTTGCAGAAAGTTTTATAGTTTTGAGGAAAAAGTAGGTTATGGGATTATTTGTGAAAAGAAATCCTTCTCACTCTCAGAATACAAGTATTTAAAAAAATATTATAAAGACCAATAAAGACCAGAAGGTGCTGGGATGGACTTTAGTTCTAATTTTAAATGAATTTTTTATTCCATGTTTAAAAAGCTGCAAGAAAAAAACATGGAAAGGAAAAGAACCATTTGATATTGAAAACAATTCACACACACACACACACACCACACTCACACACACAAATCCAGGATGACTGTTTTGGCAATCTAGTCAATGAATACTTAATAGGTTCTGTCTTAGTCCATTCAGACTGCTATAACAAATACCATAAGCTGGGTAGCTTATATACAACAGACATGTCTCATGGTTCTGCAGGCTAAGAAGTCCAAGATCTAGTTAATTGACACAGCCAGGTAATATGGCCTTGATGGTAGCGATGGTTTTATGGGTATGTACTTTTCTCCAGACTCATTGAGGTGTGTACATTAAGCATGTATAGCTTTTTACATGTCAATCATACTGCAGGAAAGTGGTTTAAAAAACAAATAAAAACCAGCATTGCTAGAAAGCTCCGCTCTTCTGGAAAACATCATCACATCCTTCACATAAAATATCCATTTAAAATAGTTTCAAATGAGACCTCAGAAAAAGAATTATCTTTATCTAAACAGGGTTTCTTTATGCTGAGAGTTTCCACAGGGTATTTTAAAGCATGTTTTTGGAAGAAAAGAGAAACATGAACCAAACAGGCAAACAAATATTGAGAAAAGGGAAGGTATGTAGGAAGTGACTGAGTATAACTCATCGAATATTGGACAGAATTTGATTTTCAGTCAGAGTATTCCCATCAGTTTTGCATTTAAGGAAAAAGTGGATTTGAATGTTTTTAGGTCTTCAGTTCTGTACAGTCCCTTCTGCTCCCCCAAATTCCTTCACCTATTTGTATTCCATGTTTAGCTCCCAGGAGGCATTAGGATTCAGGATCTTGGTGTGGGGGTTAAACAATGGCTTTGGATTCAACCCAACTTTGTCTAAGTCTCAGTTGAGCATTTTTGTAGCAACATCACCTTGAGCAAGTGATGCAAATGATAGAATCTCTCTTGAGTTTCAGTTTTATCATCTGAGAAATGGGTATCATGAGAAGATCTACATCACAGAATTGTGCGTTTTCAACGAACTGGTAGCATCAACACCCTTAGTAAGCTCTTGGCTTGTCATAGATATTTCATAAAATGTTTTTAGAAGTTATAATGAAAAAGCTAAGAGAAGTATCTACAGAAAAATTTGATTTACACGTTTGGTGCTGGTGCATAATGTGTGACTAGCCTGTTCGAGACCATCGGGAATAAGAGATTTTTCTGGGATAGGCCTTCTTAGACCACTACTTTGCTCCTGTTGGGGTTTCACGGGACCCTTGTTAATTCTAATCACCTCTGGGTAATGAATCAGTCCTTTTCATGCAAAGTCATGGTTATTTTTTAAAATCTTTATTATTGAAAGTATTACAGATGTCCTTCCATTGACCCCCTCCTCCCTGTTCCCACCCCCTTCTGCTTTCCCCAAATTATTGTCTGTGTTCATTGCAGACAATATGCATATATGCAAAAAAGTTCTTTGATTTATCTCTTCCAAACCTTGCACCTCCTTCCCTCTGAGGTTTGTCAGTCTGTTTCTTACTTCCATGCCTCTGGATCTATTTTGATTGACAGCTTATTTTGTTCATGATATTCCATAAATAAGTGAGATCATGTGGTACTTGTCTTTCTCTGACTGGCTTATTTTGCTCAGCATAATACTCTCCAGGTCCCTCCATGTTGTTTCAAAGTGTAAGAGATCTTTCTTTGTTACAGCTGCATAGTATTCCATTGTGCAAATGTCCCACAGCTTTTTTATTCACTCATCTACTGATGGACATTTGGGTTGTTTCCAGATCTTAGCTATTGTAAATAGCACTACTATGAATATGGGGGTGCATATATTCTTTCAGAATAGTGTTTCAGGCTTCTTAGGATATATTCCTAGAAGTGGAATCACTGAGTCAAATGGCAATTACATTTTTAATCTTTTGAGGAAGCACCATATTATTTTCCACAGTGGCTGCACCAGTCTGCATTCTTACCAGAAGTGTACTAGAGTACCCTTTTCTTGACATCCTCACCAGCACTTGTTTGAAGATTTGTTGATGGCAGCCATTCTGGCAGGTGTGAGGTGATATTTTATAGTTATTTTAATTTGCATCTCTCTGATGATTAGTGATGTTGAGCATTTTTTCATATGTCTCTTGGCCATTTGTATGTCTTGTTTGGAGAAGTGTCTATGCAGGTCCTCTGCCCATTTTTTAATTGG